AAATACTTTTACACATATTGTGACCACTTATTCATTACCGGAAAATGCTCACCTCGATTTCGCTCGAATCATTTGACTAAACTCCGTGGCTCATGCCAACCAGGTAGGTGTGTCCACTTTCTAAACCAAACCTCTATCAGTACACCAATTGAGCTTCAAAGCCGTATCCGTGGAACATATTCTACCTTGGTACATACTCTTAGTAGTATTGTGACCACTGATTCATTAGCAGAACTATTCCTCACTTCGATGTCGCTCGAGTGATTTGGCCAAACCTCTTGGTCTATTTTCTGCATTCCCATCGGTTATATATGCTTTTGTACGTGCGTTGCCTAGCTGTACATATACAAGTATACATACAGGCATACACCACCCCTATTATTCCACTTTGCCGACTAATTTGTGACATGCTGTCTCTCCATTTATCCCTTCTCAGCTGGGTATTACCCCAGACTGTTCAGTATGACTCTTTTGTTCCAGATACGGTTTGCTTGATCCTGTCGAAGGCTTGGGTTCTAAACCCACAATGGAATATTTTGGCCCTGGCAAAGGTTGCTGGGCACGGCTGTTTCTGCGGTTTTGTCTGCATGCGTCTGCATCCCGGCAAACGTATGAACTCGCTGTACTCCTTCCTATTGATCCTTATCCTTGTGACTTCATGTTCCCCGTCTATTGTCCTACATTATGTCTCTCCGTATCTTCTCCCATTAGAGCCGCACTCCGAATCCCCACGATAACGGGTTAACAGGTACTTCAATTTCGATTGATATGCTTATACTGCACATTCGTCCATCCTCCATGTAGCGTGAAGGCAGAAGACGGTTTGGGCAGTATAATTCAATTGGTAACACACTACTAGGTAAGAATATAAAAATAATGGCCAAATGGGGATTTACAGTTCGCTTGAGTTACAGGTTCACGGAGTTCTCCTTGTTCATAATAATATTAACAGCAGAACGGTCTGAAATAGAGATAACGTACTGTGTCACAGTTTGTTGTTATTAATATTGACTGGTGGTCGATGCGAACCAAAAAGCGTCTACCCAACAAGTAGTGTCGGTATTTCTTCAGGAAGTGCACTAAAGCCAGCATTTCTTTCCTCGTTGTGCAGTAATTCTTCTCCTGCTGACTTAGGGTTCGGCTTCCGTATGCGATCACTCTTTCGTTGCCGGCGTTGTCCAACTGGGAAAGTACTGCACCAATAGCGCCGTCACTGGCATCCGTGTCCAGGATGAATTCACCGCCTTTGTGGCTTAGATCCGGCAGTGCCAAGATGGGTGTAGTAGATAGAGCGTTCTTCAAGGTATCGAAGGCATCGTCGCATTCTTTCGTCCATTTGAATGTGGTCCTTTTTTGTAGCAATTGTGAAAGTGGGGAGGCAATCCCAGAGAAGTGAGGGACGAATCGCCGGTAGTATGACGCTAGGCCCATAAAACTGCGGAGCTGTGTCTCGTTACAAGGCCGAGGCCAGTTTTTCACTTTGTCAACTTTCTCCCTGTCGGTCTGAATGCCATCAGCCGAAATGACGTGGCCCAAAAACTGAATTTCTTTTCTGAAAAGGTTGCATTTCCCGGGTTTCAACTTCAGGCCAACCTTAAGGAAACAGTCGAATGTGGCCTTCAAGTTCGCCAAGTGCTCCTCCTCCGTCCTCCCATGTACTACCACATCGTCGAGATACACGAGGCACTTGTGTGGGACGAGGTCTCTTAATACTGACGACATCAACCGCTGAAATGTGGCCGGGGCGTTCGTCAGACCGAAAGGCATTGTTTGGAATTCATATAGCCCATTTGGAACGATGAACGCGGTCTTCTCCCGGTCCCTTTCTTCTATCTCCACTTGCCAGTATCCTGATGCTAGGTCCAATGTTGAAAAATGCTTGAAAAATGCTTTGCTCCTGCAAGAGCGTCAAAAATATCTTCCATAACTGGTAATGGGAAACGGTCTTTCTTAGCCGCCTCATTCAGCTTCCTGTAGTCTACGCACAACCTGAGTCTGCCATCCTTCCTTTTGATAAGCACTATTAGGGCGGCCCATGGGGATTGTGATGGCTGGATAACGTTGTTCGCTAACATATCCTCTATCATCGTGTTCAGCTCCTCGGTGTAGCAACTCGAAATTCGTCGGGCATTCAGCTGTATGGGCGCAGTGTCACCTGTTTCTATCCGATGTTTTACCAATCCAGTCCGGCCTAGAGGCTCGCCCTTCAGCATAAAGACGTTTATGTATTTCCGGATGAGTTTAACGAGGTTCCCTCGTATCGGTTCTTCCAAGTCGAACTCTGTTCGGTCGAAAACCTCCTGGAGCACGGCAGGTCCGTCAGTGTCTAGGTGGACCGCCCCGCAGTGGTTAATTTTGGTGCAGTTTTGGCTAACTGTCGGTGAGTTTCCCCATATCTATGACGCAATTGAGGCTCCTCAAAATGTTAACCCCCAGGATGAGGCCCATCGTCAATTTCTCCGCAACCACAAATAGATGCTTAACGATAACGCCATTAAACTGTACTGTGAGGAGTACAGCGCCAACCGTTCGGATTGTACTTCCATTTGCCCCGCGTAGCCGGCCATGGTACGGGTCCACCTTAGGGCTGCCAATGGAATGCAACACTGAGACATCGATTATTGACCTCGATGCACCCGTATCCACAAGTCCTTTTATTGGTCGCGCTTCTACCAGTAAGTCAATATCAAACGTCAAATTTTCATGAGCGGTATGCACAGTAGGAACAATATACTCACCGTGGTCCGCTGGGTAGCGCCTGGCCACCGGGTGTGAGGAGCTTCCCTTGTGGTTTTGCCCCCTGGGAGGGGTCGGGTCATCGCTTCGAGCACTCCATCGTCGTCGATAGTCGTTGTAACGGCATCCACCACTAGTCGGTCCTTGTTGAGGCCTTGGTCACCAGGGTCTCCGGATTGGTTCTCGCTGCTGACGTCCTTGGTGATGCAAGGTCAAGCAGAGGCTCTCTGCTCCATGAACAGCTCGCTGTAGCCTCTCCGTTTCTCCTGCCAGAGCAACAGCTTCTCTGAAGCTTTGAGGCGATTTTGTAATCAGCAATTTTTTTACCAACGCACCACTGAATCCTTCTACAAAGCGTTCCACAGCAAGCTTATCCTGGGCTTCGCTGTTGTCGTCGGGAAAAGCCTTCGACACGAGTTGCTTGACGCGGTACGCGTATGCCTCTACGGTCTTCCCGATGTTCTGGCGTGCCGAGTGGAGTTGTGACTGGTACTCGATTGGGTGAAGTGGAGTATCAAGGAGGCATCGCAGTTTTCGAAAAACCCCATCGAGATCCTCTTCCTCGAATGCACTGGACTGAAAAGCCCTATCGGCCGCTTCAACGGCCAACAGGCCTGAAATTGCCACTTTCCTTTCCGACTCGGGGAACTTCTGCACGTAAGCACGAGCCTGCACTTCCCAACGAGCATAGTTTCCGCCGAGACTGAACTTTTCGGGTGGCGGGAGTGGTGGAACCGTTTCCAGCCGGAACGAGTCGTCTGTGATAAGTTTCTACAAAATTTGGCCGATCATTTCGTTGACGCCCATCGCGGCGCTAGTTTCTGACTTCATCTCCTCTGCCCGCTCGGGCTTCTCTTCTTTATCCTTGCCGTTTTGCTTCTTGGTCGATCCTGCCAGCGACGCCATTTGTAGCGTGAAGGCAGAAGACGGTTTGGGCAGTATAATTCAATTGGTAACACACTACTAGGTAAGAATATAAAAATAATGGCCAAACGGGGATTTACAGTTCGCTTGAGTTACAGGTTCACGGAGTTCTCCTTGTTCGTAATAATATTAACAGCAGAACGGTCTGAAATAGAGATAACGTACTGTGTCACAGATTGTTGTGGGCACACGTGCTAGCAATAGCAATAATACAATGGCAAGTCAAATGTTGGGTAAGGGCATAACAAAAATAATAGTTATAGGTTCTCGGTGCGATGGTGGTTTCGGTTCCGCCATACATCTACATCTACGTATGTGACCTTGTCCGCCTTATATTCCGTTTGCACTGCGTTTTCATTCCAGTCCCCCGCCTCTCTCCATTGTGGACTCACGTTACCATCCGGCACCCCCCTCGGCGATTTTCGTAAAAATATAAATACTGCTCATAAGTAGTGAAACATTTACCCAGGAAATTGAGACACAGAAATAAATAAAAAATAATCTAATAAATAGTAAATGGTATTCAAAATTGATATAACTGCGCAGGATGTTGGAAATAAATATGAAAGTCATTTTTAAACGTCTGTATAGAAAGACTAAACCACTTTCGGTCCTGTACTCCATCTAGATTTTCCCATATCAGATTTCAGATCAACCCCGTAGTGTTTTTCAAGCGTCTTTTGATATAGTTCCAAAAAGGACTCAACTTTATTAGTATGAACACGACGTATGGAGTTGTTGAAACCGTCTGTGTGGTAGACAAATATGTTTGTAACCTAAGGAACAAAGTGATCCGGGCTGCAGGAGGACTCCTGCATATCCATTGTACGACCACAAGCACAAGTAAGTGTTAGCGGCAATGAATGGCGTTCTTGCATATACCCCATACACGCCTCTCTTTGAATATCGTGTAGCATCCCCTACATTTTAGACCCGTCCAACATGTT